ATAAGCAAATGTTTTCTTATATATATATATATATATATATTTGGGTTACACATGCACTGAAAAGTAATTTTATTGAATTACTTTGAATTTTGTTCAGTTTGAATTTTATTGGTAAAAAAAAAAAGAATGAGAAAAACGAACCAGTTTGGATTGACCAGATTTTATTACATTTGACCGAGTTGAATTGGGTTTGGCTGAATCTGACTAGGGGTTGACCACACCAAATTTTGACAACTATTAGGTTAACATCTTAATTCAAACTATTTTTTTAATAAAAAATTGATTTAGAAATAATTTTATTATATCATTTTTTATACAACTTTACTTATCATTAAAATAATTAACTATTTTATTTAAATAATACATGTGTTATTAAATATATCAATTCATTTAATTACTTGTATTTAATAACACGTGAAAATTTTATAAATAAAAAAAAAAATTATCTCCGTATCATTGTCCATTTTTTACACCAGTCTTGTCGAACCGATTAATCTGACTTATTTGGTCTAAATTTTAAAACAAGTGGTAAAAACCATCTCAAACACAACACTGCAAATATTCATCCCCTTAATTGAAAATGAAAAATCTCTAAAACTTAGTCTAGTAAGATAATTGCTCTCAACTTATGTGGGAGCAGCAAGCTAACCAGATATTACTTGAAACCTTTGATCCACTCTAAATTTAGCTCTTTTTTTTTTTTATTTTGGTTTATTTATGCTTTGAATTTTGTTCACCAATCAGCAATTCGCATTTGCTGTATCGAGTAGAAGTTCCTTTTGCGCCTTTTCTCTTTCATCTCTTGTAGCATTAATTTGGATTTCTAACCCCCTAAAATAGCTTTATTATTTGTTGACCAGGTTTCCTGCACCATCTGAGGGAGATCTATATCCAAGTATTAATTATGTCCTTCAATTGGCTTTCTCGTTGACTCGAGGCAGGAGTAATCTGTTCTCCTCAGTTGGCTAATTAAGCTCCTCTCATAAGAAAAAATCAAGCTGTTGCTACTTCTAATTTGCTCGGCTTTGTTCTGGTATCAGTTTCCAACTTCATTCAATTTCTTGCTGCTAAACCTGCCCCAGGTACGCAGTACACTAGCTATCTTTGAACTTTCAATCTTGGTTTTGATATATACGTTCGATCTCATTAGAGTTTGTGTAAATAAATTGAAAATATCTAAAGTTTTCATGTAGATTCATGGGCTTAATTATTACAAAAGAGAAAAGAAGCTTCATTTCTTGTTAGATTTCTCATTCCACAAATAAATACACTACCTTTTTATAATTAAAAATATAATATTTTTTCATTATCAATTAAGACTATCATCTTTCAAAAGTTTATAATCAAATGAAATTTATAACTTTACGAAAAAACAATTAAGTGGATCGGTGTACATGATCATACTCTTTATTAAAATATTTTAAAAAGTAATAACCATAATTAGTGCCACCGCAAGTATCATATTTTTAATTAAAATTTTTTAAAAAGTGATTGTTTTAATTATTAAAGAAAAAAAGTCACATCATTTAATAAAATTTTGTTGAAAAATTAAGTACTTATTTATATGTTTGTAATTCTTGATTTATATTAAAGTTGTGCATAAGTTATCATTGTTTGTTACATTTTTTTTTTATTCCGTCTAAGAAATAAATTTAACGGCATTACTATTACATTTTAGGAAATTCATCCACGGACAAAATGATGGACAAAGTGATGGACAAATTTGTTGAGAAAGTTGAGAATTTTGTAGACCACCACGGAAATCTTGAAGAAGATCTGAATGAGTTGAGAAGCGAATGGCAGGTTCTAAAGAGGAGAAAAATTGACGTTAATTCAAGAATACAAGTAGAGGTAGAGGTTCACTCGAGCCAGGTGGTGAAAGAAGAAGTAAAGGGATGGCTTGAAGATGTTCAAAAGATCGAACAAGACATACAAGATGTAGAAGAAAGAGTAGGCACAGTTCCGTACTACAAACGTGCCAGTCTTGATAAACTTGTGTGTGAAAAAATTGAAGTGGTGAAGAGGATTCAAGAGAGGGGCATTTTCGAAGGAGGCCTTGGGATTAAGAGAGCTCCAGCTTGTGGAATGGTAATTCCAACAGAAAATTTAGAGGGTGAAATTTCTACCAAAGATGAAATTTGGGAGCACTTGATGGGCAATAAAGTTGGAATGATTGGGGTTTGCGGTATTGGTGGAGTTGGTAAGACTACAATCATGAAGCATGTTAACAATGAATTGTTGGAGGGGGACAGGTTTCAGAAAGTGATTTGGGTTACTGTGTCTTACCCTCTCAATGTTTGTGAACTACAAAAGAAGATTGCACTTGCTATGGACAAAAAACTTCCAGAAGATGAAGAAGAAATGATGCGGGCAGGAAAACTAATGGATATAATGGGAAGAGTGAGATTTGTGCTAATATTAGATGATGTATGGGAAAAATTTTCTTTGACTGATGTTGGAATCCCAGAACCGACACTTCAGAATGGTTGCAAAGTAGTTATCACCAGTAGATCGGCTGATGTATGCAATTTTATGGGTTGTGAGATTGTTAAAGTGCAGCTTCTTTCATCAGGGGAGTCTTTAAATCTATTCCTCAATAGGGTTGGACGTGATGCTTTACAAGTTGCAGGATTGGAAGAAATTTTGAAGCTTATTGTGGAGGAATGTGCCGGTTTACCGCTGGCAATTGTTGTAATAGCAGGGTGCATGAGGGGAGAAAAAGATATTATAGAGTGGAGAAATGCACTATATGAATTACGCCAGTGTGTAAATAGTGTGAGAGTTAAGGAGGATATGGTATTTAGGCGGTTAAAATTTAGTTACGACCGTCTAGGAAGTTTGCGAATCCAAAAATGTTTTCTTTATTGCTCCTTGTTCCGAGAAGATTATGAGTTTTCTAGAAAGGAGATGATAGAAGGTTGGATCGATGAAGGATTGATTGATCAGTCGGGAAGAAGACAAGAAGTTTATGATAGGGGTCACGTTTTTTTAAATAGGTTGGAAAAGAATTGCTTGTTAGAGAAAACTGTTGATAGGTTTGCTAATGAAGTTAGGTTTAAGATGCATGATGTTGTAAGAGACATGGCTATCAAAAGCATTGATCCTGAAGTTAGATATATGGTCAAAGCTGGTATGAAATTGTCAAAGGTACCAAATGAGCATGACTGGGCAATTGATCTTAACAAGGTGTCTCTAATGGCCAATTACATTTCAGAAATTCCTGTTGGTTTGACTCCAAAGTGTCCATTGTTGTCAACTTTGATATTGTCAAATAATCTTAATTTGTCAGAGATTCCCAATTCCTTTTTTGAAGGTATGGTTGGGCTTAAGGTTCTTGATCTTTCTGATACTGGTATTGAAGCTTTACCTGATTCTATCTCTAACTTGGTGAATCTCTCTGCACTACGGTTGAGGAAGTGCAAGATGTTAAAGTACTTGCCTTCCTTAGCAAAGCTCAGGGCATTGAAGAAGTTGGATCTGCCTAAGGCAGGGATTGAGGTGGTCCCTCAAGGCATGGAGATGTTGGTTAGTCTTGAACATCGTGATTTATTTTGTCAAAATTTGAAAGAGATTCCAACGGCAATATTACCTAGCCTTTCCAGTCTCCAGTGCTTGGTTATCTCAATTGCTAAAGGGATGATAAATTTAGAAGAGGGTGCTAGATTGAGCAAGTTGGAGAGTTTGGAATGTGAAATGGAGGCCATACAAGACTTCAACTATCTTGTCAATAAGTCTAAAGATTTTGAAAGTCTTACTGCTTACAATCTTCAACTGAGAATAGATAAACAAGACATGGTTTATGTGTCTGGTGATAAATATCAACATAAGGTTTTAATTGCTGAATGTGAGATTGGAGAAGAATGTATAGTGCTTCCAGATACTCTTGAGGATTTGTGGATCGCTAAATGTAAGAACATGAAAAACATGAGATGCAGCTTAAACAAAAAAGTTTTGTTAGAAAATGCAACCGAGTTGAGAAGCTGTTCTATTGAGGATTGTAAAGGGATAGAGTGCATAGTAGAGTTGGACTCATCCTCTTCCTCGTTGTGTTGTCCAGTACTGGATAAGCTCGAAAAGTTGACTCTTAACGACTTGCCTAACTTGAGTGTACTTGTGAGAGGAGAAGGAGTAGCAACATCACCCCAAGCCTTTTCAAATCTTAAAGAGCTTTTTATAAGTGAATGTTCTGGAATGAGGAAGTTGCTTTCACTTGAGCTACTACAGGGCCTCCAAAACTTAGAGGTGTTGCATGTTTGCAATTGCAAACAAACGGAGGAGATAATAGCCTCATCAGATTTAAATGCATCATCATCGGATAAATTTACTTTCACTTGTCCTAAATTAAGGCGATTCTTCTTGGAGGATTTACCCCAATTAAAGAGCATCTGCAATGACAAAGGAGTTATGGTTTGTGATTCTATTGAAGAAATTTCGATAGACGAATGTCCAGAGTTAAAGAGGATCCCTGTGCAGCTTCCACTGCTTGATAATGGCCAACCATCTCCTCCTCCTCGTCTCAGAGAAATCAAAATTTTTAAAGAGTCGAAAGAATGGTGGGAATCAGTGGTGGAGTGGGATCATCCTAACGCTAAGAACATACTCCAACCTTTCTTGAAATTTATTGAATGGAGGTAAGGGGTTGATTGATTAATTCTAATTTGAATTTGATTTGTTTTGTTTCTTAAAATTTCTGTCATCTCACCTGAAAGCGGAGTTGCTGACAAATATTCAATTTTTCAGAATTTTGCAATAAACAAGTCACGTGTGAGCCCAATAACACGTGCCAATAAAACCCCTTCTTTCGGTACTCCACAACGGGAACAAAGCCAAAAATGCGTCTGATGTGGGAAGCCTATGTATTGTGGAGGAGATGAGATTGAGATGCATACACCTTCATCCTCTGCTCTATCGTGTTATCTCATAAACTTCAACTATGTAAGTATCCATATTTTGACTTTGATCATTTTTATTTTCGGGTTTTATACTTTCATTCCATTTATATAGAAATTAGTTTGTGGGTTTGGGTAGTAACAAAATCGTGGGTGATAAGATTGGCTAATGTTTGCGGTTGGAACGTTAATATTTCTTTTTTCATTTGAATTTTTTGGTATATTGGGATTTCTCAACATCTTGCAAACCAGGTTGGTAGTATGGAATTAATTCCTATAACATCACTTCCTAGATCTGTTGTTAGCTCCAGATTTCTCAACATGTTTTAAAGCTCTGCTATTTGTTTGTAGGATTTTTTCTCAAGCAAAGGCAACTTCTCTTATCGGAACAGCAAAGCAAAAGAAAGAGGGACTGGACTCACCCACTGCCAGTAGTCTTTGATTTCATTGACAATAATGTTTGATTTTTTTTTTTTTTACCAGTTTATGTGTTTTTTTAATTGTATTGGATGAACTTTGTTTTGTTTCTTTTGGTAATTTGTTTGTGTTGTAAGTTGTTAAGCAGGTCATGTTATGGGATTTCTACTCTTGTTTCTTTGGTGCTTCATTGCTCCATATATTCAATCTGTTATCAATTTGAAATCTTAAATTTTTGTAATATGTACCTTTCATATTTGCTTTGCTGACTTGACCACTGGAGAGCATTTCGACAAAACTCCACTGCTTTTTTCCACTCTTGCAGGTGTTTTTTTTTTTTTTTGTGTCATTTCATTTACTTTTCTATTATTTGCAATCCTTGATTGCTTTAGTTACTGAAATGGAAACAATTGATGTAGATTGAAGTGAACAGCAAAGGAAGTTCTTGTCTAGGAATCCATAACAGAAAAGTACTCAGCTATCATAAATCCTTAGTAAGTTTTTTGACTAAGAATTTTATTTAATTTTAATTAGGGCTTTCTACTTTTTTTCATTATAGATAAATTGATTTTTGGGTATGTATGGCTGAAATTGAGCCCTTTTGAAATGCAGATTTCAGCACAATCGGTAGGTAATTGACAGGAAGAGATCAAGGCTCTGGTCTCTGATGAACTCCAAGTGGTAAGGGTCAATTTTGCTGTCTTCATTCTCTATCCCTGTCTGTACTTTGACACTTCAAAATTAATATTATTCACCTACAATAGTAATATAATTTGCTTTTTAGGTTCTTAAGCTAAAAGGTTCATACAAGATAAAAAGTCTGATAGTAATTAGTATCATTTTCAGGTTTCCTATAAGTAGCTGAGTCTCAACCTTTAGGTGTCACGAAATGTTGCAAAGAGGTGAACATCTTTCCTCTTCAAGAATGCAGTTAAAGTTCACATTCACAAGCCACAAGAATTGAGACACAAACTCATGATTGTTGATGAATTCTTTTGCTACCATAAATGGAATTTTTTGAATTCTATAGCAAAGCAGTAATGTGATAATCTCTTCTCTGAATTTCTTGCATAAGCTAACCAAGAATTTGATGGCAATAGCTCAGTTCAGGCATAGAGTGTTCAAGGATGCATTGCAAAGTATTATGAGCTGTGCATTCTGGAGTGCTGAATTTTAGTTGCTGAACAGGAAACAATCTTTGTAGATTGAATTGAAGTGAACAACAAAGGGAGTTCCTGTCTAGGAATCACTGTAGCAGAAAAGAACTCAGCTCTCATAAGCCCTAAGTAGTAAATTTTTTACTAAGAATTTTATTTTTCATTAGTGCTTTATACTGTTTTTCATTATATATAAATTGATTTCTGTGAATGTATGGCCGGAATTGAGCCCTTTTGAATTTCAAATTTCGGCACAATCAGTTGGCATTTGGCAAGATGAGATCCATGCTCTGTCCCTAATGAACTCCAAGTGGAAAGTTTCTTTTTCGCTATCTCCACTTTCTATCCTTGTCTATACTTTGACCTTTTAAATTAATATTATTCATCTACAATAGTGATATAATATGATTTTCAGGTTCTTAAGCTAAAAGTTTCGTGCAAGATAAAGTTTCCGATAATAATTTGTATCATTTTCAGGTTTGCTAGGAGTTGCAAATTTTTGATGTCATGAAATGTTGCAAAGAGGTGAACAACTTTTCTCTCCAAGAATGTTGTTATGAAATGCTTTTATTGGCAGCTATCAGAATTTTAGTGACATTCATGGACATTCCTTAACTAATTATTTAGCTGTTTTGGAGGTGTAGGTTCATTTGCAAATTTATGTGATTGTGCTTCTGCAAAGTTGAAGTCCAGCTGAGCACCATCTAATGATCTTAAATTTAATAGGGAGATTCTAATGGTGAAGCCAACAGGAAAAGGATGGTGGTTTTAGATTTGTCGGGTGAAGATAAATATGTAGATACTATCAATTTAGCATCACCCTATTCCGCCAAGTAGTTGTCATCCCAAAAGTAGTCAGCAAAAACAGGAACAGTAAATAGCAAACAGTCCTCTCCAACTAAGAAAATCAGCTTTCTGAAACTGGTATGAATAAATGACCCATATTACAACAAACAAGATTAGTAACTCAACTTCAACATGCATTAATTTTTTGCTCCTTATGGGCCAGTATACATGGCTGAAGGCTTTGCAATTCTTATTTGATTTCATCATGCTTATTCTAGATTGTAAGCAAGCTAGAGCCTAATGCACACTCCTTACAGTTTCATCTTTCAATGCAGGCCTCTTGCAGCCAAGAAGTCTCTTACAGTAGGAAGTGCTGCTCCTAATCTAGGAAGCAAAGTAGTAAACTAGAAGAAGGCAGGGAAAGCAATGGTTTCCAAGCAAAGCAATATCTCATCATTCTTCAAGACAGTTAGTTTGGGCAGAATGAAGTTCCTACCATGTCAAAACTAGAGGTTGCAGCCTAATTCACACCCACCACCAACGTAAGTTACTTTTGGTTTCATATGATTTCATCAAGGCATTTGAAATGTCTTTTTTGTGTCTTAGTTTTGATCCGCTAATGCTTTTATACATCTTGAGGAGCAAAGGACTGATGTTTATGGGAGATTCAATGTAGAGAACCAGTTTGAGGAAATGGCTTGTTTGGTACAATGCATGATTCCTGAGGAGAAAAAAATTCTTTCACAGAATTCCTCTTTTGAAGATCTTCAAAGCTGAGGTACCTTAACTTTTCTGCCTATCATGCTTTCCTATGTTACACAAATTCTTCAAATTACCCTAATAAATCTACTTTTAATATGTGTTAAATGGTTTGAATGCTTAAATTTAAGGAATAACATGGTAAACATTTAAAGTATCTGTGTTAGACACTTGATCCCACTATTTCAAGCTTTTGGAATGTGTTTTAGGAATATAATGCATCAACTGAGTACTACTGGGAGCCCATCATACTAGAGTCTAATTCAAACCATGCAACAAATCACTGTTCGGAGACAGCTGGTGAACCTTGATGCCATAGCCAAATTATGGCAAGAACTAGGAAGGAGTTAATGTGAGGTTTGAGAGCCATATCAGTCTAAGATTGATGCTACCATGTAAGTATTCAGTTTTCCATCAAAGGCTTTTTGTTCCATTCAAATTCTTCTGGATTTTGTGTTGCAAGCTCCAGTTTTTAATTTGAGCATACATTCTGAAATCCAATAGATTGTCCTTTCTTCCTTCCTGGGTTTCGGGTTTTTTGTTTTCAGCTATGGAACCCCAGGGCTTGTTCAAGAATACATTGTGACAACTGCTTTTGGATTGGCACTGGAAACTTGGCAAATTGGTTAAAATCCAACATCAATCCTCCAATTCAAAGGGTCTTCTTCTTGACCATGTCCCCAACACATCTGTGGTATGTTTCACTTGCCGTTTTTTTATTAAGATACAAACATTCCATATCCCAAAATTAAGAAGATGATGGTTATAGCTGCATCTTTCAGGAGCTGGGAATGGAAGCCAGACGGTCATGAGAACTGTTTTGATGAGACATATCCAATTCAAGAAGCATCATACTGGGGAGCTGGATTTGGTCTGGCCATTATGAAATAGTTCATGGTATTTTACAGTAACTAAAGATCAATGTTCCGGATTAGAATATAAAATGGATCTTTGAGTACATTGCTGAATATAGAACCATTGGGGAGGAAGGACACAGGATTAGAGATCGAGGAATGAATGTGCAACCTATGGTATCATGGCAACCTCCTCTGGAGATACCATTAAGATCAATACCGATACAGCAATACCACAGGGGCAAGGCAAAGCCAGGTTTGGAGTTGTCCTTAGGAAGTAGGAACTGTGACAGCAAAGTTATAGGAGCTGTGCAAAAGAACTCGTGGGTTTCAAGGATCAGTTCTTCAAGATGAGGTTATGGCTCTTGATTTCGCATTGTGTATGGGCAGAGTATTTGGACACAGAAATGTCATCATTGAATCAGATTGTCTTAAAGCCGTACGAGTAGCTGTGCCCAACGATGATTGTTATCTTCCTTTTGGAGCAATAGCGGAGGAAATTCGAGCTAAGAAATTCCATTTTCTTTGTGTGTTTCCAGCATGTAAAGCGTGAGTGTAACTTGCTAGCCCATGGGTAGGCTTTAGCTACATTCCCTTCACCTTGGGACGGTGTTGGCTAATAAGGAATGTAGAATCAAGATATTTGATACAAGGTTAAACCCCCATTTTGGTCCCTCAACTCAATAAATCCTTGATTTGATCCCTACTGTTTACCATTTTGATCCCAACTTAGTCCTTCCGTTAAAAATCCAATGACGTGTCATGTTAACTAACAGTTACATGATGACATGTCAAAATAACATGACATGTCAAATGTACACTTGGAAAAAAGATGACATGGCAGTATGACATGTCTCATTCTTGCCAAGAACCAAACAAAAAAAAACGTGGGGCCCACCCCTCCAAAAACTGAACCCTTCTCCCCCGTTCTTCCCAATGGAACCTAGAACAACAGAGCTTTTCCATCAAACCCAGGCGTGCTGGGTTCCTCACCAAGCACCTTTTCTTTTTCCTTTCTCTTCCTTTGCCTTCTTCATCAATCAATTCTTCATTGTCATCAAACAACAAACCCACAAAACCTTGGGTTTGAAAGAACACAGACGTACTGGGTTCGTCAAACCCAGCACCTGGGTTCCATCAAACCCAGCACCTTGGTTTGAAAGAACACTACTATCAAAATCCAGACATATTTAGCTAACCAATAGTAGAATCATAAAACACAAATCCAAAGACCAAAAAACCAGATCAGGAAACCAAATAAAGCAATCACTAAAACCAACTAAAGCCAGAACGAACTCAAATTGCAAAATCGACAATAAAGATCGTCAATGTACGCACAGATCTCACTTTCCATAGCACAAAAACATCAAAACGAGCGACAGAATCCTCAGATTAGCCAAACATAAATCAATCCATTGTAATCTCAAATCGAAAGACAAAGCCTCGAAACTAAATGATCGAGAGAGCTTACCTAAATAGGAAATCGACGACGAATTTAGCGAAAGAGAGAGCCCAAGCGTGCTGGGTTCCAAGGAACCCAGCGCTTAGGTTTGACAGAACCTACACTTGGGTTCCATCGAACCCAGGCGCTGGGTTCAAAGGAACCCAACACCTGGGTTCTAAAGAACCCACGGTTAGGTTCCAAAAAACCCAGTAAGCACTGGGTTCTAAGGGCAAGAGAAACCCAACACCTGGGTTCAATGGAACCTATGCCTGGGTTCCATCGAACCCCGGTGTGCTGGTTTGAAGGAACCCAACAGGCTTTGGGTTCCAAGGGGAAGAGAAAGGAAAAGAGAAGAAGAAAAAAAAAAAAAAGAAAAAAAGAAAAGAATTTTTTATTTTTTGTTATATTAATATTTTTTTATCATATTAGTTTTTTTTCTATGTCATCACTTTTTGCCATGTTA